AGCTGCTCCGGTAGAATATCATTATGCACCTGATACATTATCGATGCGAGCCTCCGCTTGTAGATGTAACTCAATGGCTTCCATTTAGCCCTTTTAAGGGCGTCACAATCAGGAGTTCCACTAGGGAGTTTATGGATTAGTTTTGCAGCTTTTATGTGTAAATGCTCTAGGTCATTAAATGAAGACAATGAACAGGATCCCCATACGGCAATGCAGTAGGTCTAAATGGTCTAAATGGTATTTGAAAAAATAGACACAGATGTCAAATCACGTATTCGTTTACAAGTGCACTAACAGTCTAGGACATTTTTCGGTTAGTAGCACACAGGTGGGATTTCCTTGATCAACTACCAAATTCTTAGAAGCAACTTAAAAATTCACTCGTGCAATAATCAGTATAAAGTATTTAAGATCTCGATCTTATGAATGAAAGGGTCAAGACTGTCATCAACTATTTACTAAAACTCTTTAACCATTAGAAAAGAGAATGTTGGAATTAAACAGTGCTGGGATGTGCATTTTTAACTATCACTGAGCATTACAGCCCTGACGGGCAGGCAGAGGAACTGTAGTATTTTTGTTTAGATAGCATTGTAAGTAAGCAATGAGTGTAGATTGCAATATGCGCATACTTTGTTGATCCGCAAAGGGCTTTGGACATTGCAAACCAACTACTTTTGCATGTAGGCATGTAATGTGTGCATAGAGAATTTATTCAGGGGCTATGTAGCTGTAAATGTAGGGCCTATGGTTTACTTGAAACAGTATGACTGTACTTTCAACTTGCACCTATTACTGTAAACTACAGTCGCATCTCCACTAACAGCCACCTCCGTACAACGGCCACCTCTCTACAACGGGCTTTTTTTTTCCAGTCCATACATTCACTCTTATTGTTAACCTCTCTACAACGGCCACCTCTCCACAACGGTTACGGCCACTAAAGTGCGTCCCAAACTACCAAAATAACCTCTCCACAACGGCCAGTTAATCATCGACTGACGAATGGTGTGTACAAGACCCCATGTGATATTGTAAAAGGTCACGAAACTTGATCCGTGCCGCGCGTCGTTGGTCTCTGTTTCTGTTTGGTTTCTGTTTTATTGATATAGTTTGATTTTGTTAGGTATTTCTATGCTACAGTCAGTATGTTTTTAAATATAAAAATGTTGTACCCCCGAGAAAACAGGTGTCATATTACTCTCCTACCTCCCTACCTGCCCGTAACGGCCACCTCTCTACAACGGCCACTTTCCTCTGTTCCCAAGGTGGCCTTTGTAGAGAAGTTTGACTGTACCAAATGTTAAAATTGTTAAAATACTTGCTCCAAACTAACTGGGATATTTTTTTTGACAGCAAATGAGGTTGTATTACGTTTGCACTGCTGTGAACTGCGGCAACAGGTGGACTGAATGAGAGGAAAAAAGAGAGACATGGCTGGACATTGTGAAGTTATTTGTGACTTCCTATCGCCTGCTGATAGGAAACGAGAAATATTATAATGTTGAGAGGAACAGTTGAAAATGGACCAAAGATACACTTCCAGCACTGCTACTGTGCATGTCTTCTAAGCAACACCTTAAAACGTTTGAGCAGAAGTCTTTCATTTTTCATTTGTCCTCGTAAAAATTTTAATTCCAAGTTTCTTAGTTTGCCAGTTGTAAATTTTATCATAACCAAATTCCCAAAACATCCAAGTCGAAACAAATTCCCACGAAAAAAACACGAAGGTGCCAGAAGCTTGAGTGGTGAATTTTGAGCATGTGACGTAATCATACATAAGACCTCTTGATTTTGAGGGGCCACGATGCCAACATCAGGAGCATTAAGCTAATACCAGTTGGTGTGTAAAATAGAAAAGACCATTCATTTTTTGATGTTATCTTATATGTAAGCAGTGGTTTCGTTCAGTTAACGTTTTCAGCAGAAAGGAATTTGTTTTTCGCAGGCAGGCAAAACCTTTTTAAGTTAACTTCTCGATAACAAAAATTCCTCGAGATGGTAAAACTCAGCCGGTCAATTTGCACGGTGCCTGGCCTTTAATGAAACCCCTTCACTAAGCTGCAGCTGTTGAGTATGTGTTGAAAGGTTTAAGCCATTTCAAACGTGTTTTTTCGTTGGGTCTTTGCATCCGCAACAGTATGGCGTATTAGGAAACCCCGATACGTGGACGTTTTGTTTCACGATTAAGTTTCTTTTCTTGTCTGTATTGCGTTGATGCTCGCCTTTCTGTGCTTATTTTCTTAGATTAATGTTTAACATCTTTTTGATAACTTTTTTTATTAGGCCAAAAAAATCTAAGAAGTTGAAGTAGATCGAAGTTGACATTTCATAGCAATATGCCTTGGTGTAAAACATATACAGTCTCAGAGTTTGGTTAAACCGACCGTGAGTAAAATGAAGACCAGGAATAAAATGCATAATGTAGTCTGCAGACATTGTATTCTAGTTATCGAGAGCAAACCAGAGTCCAGAATCAGTTTCACTTCGATTAGTCGGAATAACGTCCAGGTTTTAGTCTGCTTGCGATGAGAAAGTGTGAATACTGCATGTTGCATTTTACCCTTGTACTGCAGTCTACAATTTTTCCCCCGGTCTTAAGTCCGCATCGTGTTTTATTCTGTCCGTGGTTGAAACTTAATACAAACACAGCGCACTGAAAGCCATAAAACACGCCGAATAAATCAATGCAATTGTCATTGGAACCGAGGGACGAACTGAAAAGAAATACAGTCGAACCCCTATTAAGCGGCCACCTATTAAACGGCCACCCCTATTAAGCGGCCAGTAATCAAAGTCCCGATGAGGGCTCTCCTATTGTTTTCACCTCTATTGAACGGCCAGTTTCCATTTCCCGGAGGGTGGCCGTTTAATAGGGGTTCAACTGCAGTTCCAACACGGCAGAGTTTAACACTACAGAATGTGTCTTAGTAAAACTCTCATCGTTTAATACCTAATTTTATGTCGTCCAAGGGTAGTTTTGTCTCGGGGGGGGGGGGTGTTTGAACTATAACCATTTCCATTCTCTTTCAACTGGGTGTCGAAAATAAACAGGCAATTACTTTGGTTTTGGTTTTGGTTTTGGTTTTACGACGGTGGGAGATTGACTGAGTAGTCTAATTGTTAAGCAGTTAGTTTGGTTTTGGTTTTACGACACTCAACTGAAAAATGTTCCATATCATCAGAGGAATTTGATTTATTGGTCGCGTTGGATCATAAACAAAGCTAAATGCCACGTGCCCTTCTATGTTTCTGCCCATGACTCCGCAACTTTTTTTAACTGGTGGTGGAAACTGGGAAGAACTCTACATGTCTGAGTGTGTTTCTCCGTTTGTGACAGTCCGCAAATCAAAATAAGCTGTAAACTGCTCTTATTTAAAATACTCTCGTCAATCAAGTGATCAAGATCCAAAATACTAAAAATAAATGGCCTAATCTCAGTTCAGCTGAGTTACTTTCCGTATCGCAGCGAGCACGCTGCTCTGTGCCACAAGGTAGGCTGCTGTTAATGTAAAAACCAATGTTTTGCTTCATAATCATCGCTAAAAAGCGGAGTTTCTACGTTTGCCAGTAGTTCGTAGGATCTGTCGACAGGTTTATAACCCATTAACGCCATCACATGTCGACAATAATGCTCAATGAGGTCAATTTCATGCGGATGTACCTTCCATCTCCAGCGATTGGCCGCTGCCCATGCGTCATCTTTGGTGCAAGTCGCTTGTTCTCCGTCTTCCTTTTGATTACAAGCCCCCCTGCTCTGTCGAGTGGTCTCGTTTAACCACGTTCGCACGCTCTCCGGTACAGATAACCCAGCAAAATTGTAGAGACCAGACAGCTCTTTCAACGGGTTCAGCGCCAAGTCTTCGTAGCGTTGAAATTTGATCCGATTTCGTAACGATTCCGGCAGTTTCCTGACAAAGTCTAAGTTATGCTCAGTTTCCTTACAGTTCAAGTAACTGAAGCGCCGCGTTCCCACTTTAGAATCACCTTTTTGCTCTGTGAAGAATCCCACGCTAAGGGCTGAAGCGATCACTGCCCGGGGATCTCTTACGAGCAAGATAACTTTACAGTCAACATCCTCTGGCATACAAGACGCTAAAATACTTTTGATGCTGTTCTCGGGAATACGAGGAATGAGAACTTTTATAACGGTTAAGTCATAATGTTCCTTACAAGCACTTCCCAAAGATTCACTGGTCATCGGAGCACAAAGTGATGGATCCCATCTTAGATCTGTCGTCAGATAGGGGCATAATGGCGGCGAGGCTATGGCGTGACTTACTCGAGGATGGGCCGGTTTACGGTAAAACTTCTCGATATCAGCCAACATCTGCGGTGAATCGAAGCTGCAGCGAAATATGCCTGTTAAAAACTCCATCGCGCGTTCATTGTAATTCTTGCTCGTTCCCAGCGTTGCCGGACTGACTCGTTCGACAGTTTGTAGAGGTTCATACATATAAAACACTGAAGGGTGGTGGTTGAAAATATCTCCCATCAGCGTGGAACCCGATCGGCCATGCGACACGATAATAAGATTTTTCTTGGCTGTGCTTGAACGCTCTTGAAACTTCATAGCGTTCTTTTCTGGATCAGTATAAAATTCATTAAGATGGTGTTCTTCCTGATCAATTTGTTGAAATTCGTCTCTAAAGACTGGTTGATTCGATGAGCCCGCAATGTACGAACCAATTAAATAGAGTGCGAACAAGCATAGCAGCAAGGGAACTAATTTCAGAAGCCTTGATAAACGAATTCGCCTTATAGTCATCTCTCTTTAGATATATCAACAGTAGAAAAGATCGAAAAAATAATCAAAATTGGATTTCATCTATTCGTGGATACTGTTGCCATTGGAAATTGTGTCAGGTTTGAAAAGCATGAAGTTCTTTTCGTTGCTTTGAGACGAATTCACGGTTCTCAATTGAGCTTTCTCGACTGATGCGAACCTCTTAAAAAATCGGTCTTAGGCTAAAATAATCGCGTGTTTATCCTCTCATCCATCCTTTGAAGGAAAAAAATATTATTGTTTTCAGTCTTGGGCCAATGGGAGATGGAATCTTGAAGGTTTCAAGTTGTTAGTTTTCGCGAACCTTTATTAATTAGCTGAAGGCGTTTACTCCGACAACAATATTTTTCTTCAATCTATTTTCATTTGGCAATGTAAAGACTGGCGTTCAAAGAGCACTTATAAAATCAATATTAATTTCCATTTGTATTGATCCACCTTTTCCTATTTTTTCTTAGTTCTTAAGGGCTTGGAGCACCAGTTGAACTTTTCGCCGTGCATTAAATGCGGAAGACGGACCCGATAATTCATTATCGAAAGAAATATATACACGTTTGTCACTCATTTACGTTGCAAGGTAGCTTGCTGTGAATGGAGAACTTTTACATCTTCAAATTTTTGAAATATTACTGAAAACTGGAAAGTAGACCGAAAAGTATCAACTGATCGGTTTCAGCTTGCGTCATGTCGATATATTATATGCAGTTATCGCGAGCTGGATTGAAACGTGATTCCTTAGTTTCGTTTTACGGTGGATCAGTCAGGAGACCAGAAATTCATGGTCTTTCGCTTGTTCAGAAATATCTAACGTAGCCTCACTTGCTCGATTCCAATTGAATACAGTGATCAACTTCAATTTGAATCGTATGTTTGCAGTCATCCTAATGTCACATCTTGTAAATTGATTTTTTTTGTAAGCATTTTTGTCTGATTGGTGTTGTTACTAGTGGAGTCGGTGAATGATACATTATTTATTCATGAGTGTGATAAAGAGCCGCCTTCATTTAGTATTATTATGATTATGATGATGATGATGATTATTATGATTATTATTATTATTATTATTATTATTATTATTATATTGTTATTGTGTACCCCAGTCCGAGACTCTCTTCATCCGTAGCAGTTTTTGTCACAACTGTCTCATGCTTTACTGTGTGTATATCGAGTTATAATGCACGTGGAGTGGTTGGAGAGCATGAAAGAAGACTAAAAGCAATAACTGACTTCTTGATTATATTGTGAATGGAAATGTACGATGCAAACCCATTATCAGGGCTGCTGAAGAAGGGCGTTGTTCTGCTTTTATTTTGAGCTCCAATCCCAGAAAACTCCATCAGATTAAAAGCTGGACTCTGACAGACAAAGAGCGCTGAATTCAATAAGTTTGCACAAGCAAATTTGGCATTTGCAGTTTTACGCTTTCTTTTCAGACCGTTTTATCTTTCGCTTGATTTATTTTTTCAAGAACTCCCTTTGATCCCAGCTTAAGACCAAATCATATTTCTAAACAGGTGAATTTTGAGGTTCAGTTTTCATTCGCTGACTGAGTCCCAAACGATTTTTTTTGTTTTTTTTTTAGCAACTTTTGACATTTTTTTGAGCAACTTTTGAGCAACTTTTTGAGAAATTGCGGACAACGTTTTGGGACATCTCGAGCAACTTGTGGAAAGCCCGAGAGTGGATTCAAGATTTCGCTCCCTCTCTCTCTCTCTCTCTCTCTCTCTCTCTCTCTCTCTCTC